CCGACCGACGGGGGCTCCAACTCTCGATGCTCAGGTGCTGAAGGAGGCATAAGCAAGACACTGGTCCTTTCTATCCGATGGCCGCGCGGCTGGCCAGAGACGAGGATGGGCGTATGAGATTAATTGTGACGCTCAGGGAGTGCTTTTCGTGGAGGCTGAAACGAACTCCGTTATCGACGATTTTGGTGACTTCGCTCCGACTTTGGAGCTCCGGCAGCTTATTCCCGCCGTCGATTACTCTGGCGGAATCGATTCCTTTCCTCTCTTGGTTTTGCAGGTATAATAATTATTTAAACTAATTTGGTGCTTAGTTGAAGATGATATTTAACCGGTCAAGTTTGGCGAATATATTTAAATAAATTTGAAGTGTGATGAAAATCAACACAAATTGATTTTTAAAAATTATTCAAATAATGTTTTTAAATTTGTATTTTATTTGTAATGATAAAAATTAAATACTCAACGCAATAATTATTTTTTAAAATATTTTTACAAATAAAAATTATAATTTTTGAATAACATAAATACAATATTTTCCCTAATTTTATTGTTTCATATATTTTTTTGAATAATCCATTTAATTATTGAGTCATAGATCAGTAAACCAATAACTCGTCTGCTTTTAAAGAATAAGTCGATTAGTTTTATGGGCTTTAGTGTTAATTATTTCAAGCCATTAATTTAATCTCACATCATCGGATTGCAATTTTTTATGTAGTATTTCAGATTTGCAGTATTTTTAATAGTATTTATAAATTAGTATAAATCAAATGTTTAGTAATAGTATTTATAAATTATTTTTTGGCTGTATGATAAAAATTCATATTTGTTTTTTAAATATTATTTAATTAATAAAATATATGAATTTATAAAAATAAAGTTTGGTCATGCAAATTAAATGTCCTAACAATTTTATTGAAGAGACGAGGAGTTTGAGTTGGAGTTCATCTAATTTCCATCTTTAAAAAAAGTGTGTAATTTGAGTTTTATCTGGGTGTTGCAGGTCACATATTTCAAATGCGGCGGAGCATCACTGGGTGTAGGCATGCAACACCATGTAGCAGATGGGTTTTCAGGTCTCCATTTTGTGAACACATGGTCCGACATGGCTCGTGGTCTTGACCTCACTATCCCACCCTTCATTGACCGGACTCTCCTCCGAGCTAGAGACCCTCCTCAACCCACATTTCAGCACGTCGAATACCAACCTCCTCCCGCCATGAACACCCCTCTCGACTCACCTTCTGACACCACAACTGTTTCCATTTTCAAGTTAACCCGCGACCAGCTCAATACTCTCAAAGCCAAAACCAAGGAAGACGGCAACACCATAAACTACAGCTCGTACGAGATGTTATCAGGCCATGTGTGGAGATCTGTATGCAAGGCAAGAGGACTCGCAGCCGATCAACATACCAAACTGTATATTGCTACTGATGGTCGAGCTAGATTGCGTCCCCCACTTCCACCAGGTTACTTCGGCAATGTCATCTTCACCACCACGCCAATTGCTGCAGCGGGTGATCTTGAATCAAAGCCAACATGGTATAGTGCAGGCGTGATACATGATGCACTGGTACGTATGGATAATGATTATTTAAGGTCAGCCCTGGATTACTTGGAGATTCAACCAGATATTTCAGCTCTGGTTCGTGGAGCCCACACTTTTAAGTGTCCAAATCTTGGGATTACTAGCTGGGTTAGACTGCCTATCCATGATGCAGATTTTGGGTGGGGGAGACCCATATTTATGGGGCCAGGTGGTATTCCATATGAAGGTTTATCCTTTGTGTTGCCAAGCCCAACTAATGATGGTAGCTTGTCTGTGGCCATTGCTCTTCAGACCCAGCATATGAAGCAGTTTGAGAAGTACTTGTATGAGATCTAAGCAAATCATCACCGTCTACAGAACCCATTCAACCTAAATGGGCCTGGTAAAGTTTCAATATAACTTAAAGTCCTTCAATACTTTGTTGCTCCCGTCCATTTTTTTCATTTAAGAGTTGGAGCTGCAGGAATGCACCCAACTAAGCACATACATATATGGACTAATTCGTGTGATGCCGTTGGGATTAACCGTGAGTTCACATGACAAAGACTTTGTTTTTCACTTGGGATTTTGACATGTTCTGTTTAATTCAGAGGACATATATGTATAAGTTATTCGTTATGTTGAATGTTACCTATTGATAAACAATTAGAAATAAAAATTGTTTCTTTTTGGGTATTCTTTTTTCTCTGTTACTAAAATTTTAAAGGTTATCTGTATTGTTTTTGTAAAAATCATTGAATAGAAAGAAAAAAGGGGGGATGGAATAGAGAATGAACTGAGTTCGTTTGTTTTTTCTCTCCCATTAAAATGACAAAAGGAGTTTTGGTTGAAGATGGGTGTTGGTGCTACATCATATTCATATGAAATTGACAGTCCGAACAATAAATGAAGTGATTAATTCCCCAAATACAAAACATCAAAGAGAAGAAGATCCATTGATTGTAGAAAATCTAGGGAGAAAAATAAGCAAAGCCGAAGATGATCAAAACCCAAAAGCTTATACATGAGATTGAGATTGAGAAGCTGAAATTAGAGGGCCTCATTGCTTGACTTTTCTCATTCTGGCGATGCTTGTGAGTCATATTGGCACCTCCATAAGCTCCTTTTCCTTTCTGTGCTTTTCTTGACAGTTGATAATTTCTTCCATCTCCTTCTCTTTCCACCATCTGATTCACACCTGCAATCACCAACTTCCAGTCATTTTTACAATCCACATATGTCCCTTCATTCCTACCATGAATTTGTTGTCCTTTACTGATCTGATCTGGCAGCTTCAAATCTTCCTTAGCTTCTAACAAGCTATTAACAGCTGAGCTCCACAGAGCTAGACTACAGAAGATGGAGTACAAGAACAATGCAACAAAACTCTTCTTCATTTTCCTGAAAATATCACCCTCTTCACCTTTTTATTCTTGAGGGAAACATTAGCGGTCATACTGGTTACTACATACATATATGTAAGTTTTTGAGAATATATATATGCAGGGGATTTGTTTGTTGCAGAGAGAGAGGGTGAGAGGGAGGTGTTTTATGAAGTAGGGGGTGGGGGGGAAGGGATCCAAAACTCCGGGTCCATTAACGCATGGGGGATAAACATAAAAAGGCTGGCCCTACCAAATGGTAGCCGTAAAAATTTGCAGCGGTGTAAGGAATAATATCTTTGTAGATTATGCTGCCTTTTGGGTTTATGAAGAAAAGCATTTCACTAATTATAAGATTAATTTTGTGACTTAAATAATAAAATATATAAATTTTTATTAAGATTAAGAAAACTGCAAATATAATTAATTAACAGAAAGACTATAACTTCAGTTTGCAAATTGCGAAACAGTATGAAACAACCCAAAATGAACAAACGAAATGGAATGGACTTTTTTTCTTTCTGTTTTTTTCTTGATTCGATTAGATGTGGGGGGGTACTGCAGCCAGCAAGATTCGTCCCCTGTTACCAACAACAGCCACTCTTCTGTTACAGTATGTTTGATGTATAAACTGTTTTGTTAACATATTAATTTACGCCAAATAAAAATTTTGACTATTGTAAATTAAGTACTAAATGAATGTTTGTTGGATTATTATAGTCAGCATAGTTAATATAGTCTAAAATTTTTTATCATTTAAAATTAAATATATTTGAATAAAAATAATCAATTGTATCAAACTCAAAAAGTTTTATTGAATCAATATATATTTATTTTTAATATTAATTGTTAGGGGTAAGCTACTGTCTAAAATTAGACCGGGTTGAAATTAAAATTGAAGAAATTTCTACACCATTGACTGGATTAAAGTGGATCAAATTGTGCACTATTTTTTTCAAAAATATATTGTAGACATATAAATACATAAATACAAAACACATAAATATACGCAAGATACATAATAGATATCTCTAGACTCTACATATTTATACATGTTACATCAGCTCATTTCTATTTTTTTTTTTTTTGTTGAAGTTAGTTAAATGGTCTAAGTGGGGAGCGAACCATAATGAATTTGTCTCTCTGATTCCTAATCTTTTTAACAAATGACCTAACAATATGAACTAAACAAACCGATTTCATTAGCATTATGTTTGCTCACCCCTTATTATTGTATTTGTGTTAAACAATATGATCTCTAAATATCTGAATTTGATCGGACAATATAAAGATATATAAAAAGTGAGTCCATAAATAATTATGATATTAAGATAAATAAAGATTGGTTGATAAATAATTACATAAAACATATAT